TTGACAGACAAAATGGCCGCCGTTCATTCTCAAATAGCGTAAAAAAAATATGGTATATCAAGGTTGTGGACCCTATATAGGTCACAATTTTTATCCGATTTTGTTGAATCTTGAAATGTAAGTTTATAACCCAAAGATCTCGGTTCCTTTCGATATTCGCACATATCGGACCGTAACTTCCTGAATTATGGCCCGTGATTGTACGAAAAATCACGTTTTTAGCTTGTGGACCCTATAGAGGTCATAATTTTTATTCGATTTAAAAAAACGTATTATTATATCACCGTTACACCCTAAGGACGACTGAGTTTGAATTTCGTGAAAATCAGCCCCAAATTGACAGACAAAATGGCTGCCCTTCGTTCTCAAATAGCGTAAAAATTGGGTATTTCAACGTTGTGGACCCTATAGAGGTCACAATTTTTATCCGATTTTGTTGAAACTTGAAATGTAAGTTAATAACCCAAAGATCTCGGTTCCTTTCGATATTCGCGCATATCTGACCATAACTTCCTGAATTATGGCCCCCGATTGTACGAAAAATCACGTTTTTTAGCTTGTGGACCCTATAGAAGTCATAATTTTTATCCGATTTAAAAAAAACGTATTATTATATCACCATTACACCCGAAGGATAACTGAGATCATCTTTCATTAAAATCGGCCCAAAATTGACAGACAAAATGGCCGTCGTTCGTTCTCAAATAGCGTAAAAATATGGTATATCAAGGTTGTGGACCCTATAGAGGTCACAATTTTTATCTGATTTTGTTGAAACTTGAAATGTAAGTTTATAACTCAAAGATCTCAGTTCCTTTCGATATTCGCGCATTTCGAATTGTAATTTCCTGAATTATGGCCCTTGATTGTAGGAAAAATCACTTTCTTGTTAGCTTGTTCTCTATCCATCTCTCGAAAATGTGGGCGTATCCTGCCTGGCAGCCGCTGGTTATCCAATTTTGTTGAAACTTGAAATGTAAGTTTATAACCCAAAGATCTCGGTTCCTTTTGATAATCGCGCATATTGTACGAAAAATCACGTTTTTAGCTTGTGGACCCTATAGAGGTCAGAATGTTTATCCGATTTTAAAAAATGTATTATTATATCACCGTTATACCCTAAGGACGGCTGAGTTCGTATTTCGTGAAAATCGGCCCAAAACTGACAGACAAAATGGCCACCCCACGTTCTCAAATAGCATAAAAATATGGTATATCAAGGTTGTGGACCCTATAGAGGTCACAATTTTTATCCGATTTTGTTGAAACTTGAAATGTAAGTTTATAACCCAAAGATCTCGGTTCCATTCGATATTTGCACATATCGAATTGTAATTTCCTGAATTATGGCCCTTGATTGTAGGAAAAATCAATTTCTTTTTAGCTTGTTCTCTATCCATCTCTCGGAAATGTGGGCGTATCCTGCCTGGCAGCCGCTGGTTATCTGATTAAAAAAAATGTGTGAATATAACACCATTACACGCTAAGATCTTGGATACTTTTGATAATCACGGATACCTGAACTGTTGAATTCAAATTTCGGGAAAATCAAAATGAAACTGCCCAACAAAATGGCTGCTCTTTGTACGCAAATTGTGTAAAAGTATGCAATACAAAGGTTGTCGACCCTCTAGAAGTCACAATTTTTATCCGATTCTGATGAAACTTAAAACATATTTTTATATCCCAAAGATCTCGGTCCCTTTTGATATTTGCGCATTTCAGACCATAACTTTGTGGATTATTGCCCCTGATTGTACAAAAATCCTGTTTGTTTTTAGCTTGTTCTCTATCCATCTCTTGCAAAATGTGGGCTTATCCTGCCTGGCAGCCACTGGTTTCACTGGGCCCTGTTTCACAAAAACTTCAACAATCATTATGTAAGAGCTAAATGTTATATAAATAATTGATCAGACATCAACTAACATACAAGGAACATAATCAACTCTTGCTGCCATCGGATGGATCCAATATTTCGTAATTTGAATACGTTTTGTGGTTCATGAAATAGCCGTAAAAATGGATAGTCGAGACTTTGTTTATTAACGTAACAATGGTAGTAATGACAATCGAGGATAGACAAAAATTGTATTGCTGATAACTTAGCTCAGAGTGAGGTAATTCACTGAAATTTTCTTCAACATATTCTCTTTTCATTATCTGTTTTTTTAACTATTATAGCGGAAACTGTCAGCTCTTTATCTAATCATAACTATTGCCACTTTAAAGCTGAACTCAGATTACAAAACTACAGAAATAATTAAATAAAAAAAAAAAGTTGTTTTCAATTTGTAGAACAAATATGGCGACTGATTACAGCATATAAGAAGAGAGGCAGGCCAAGCCCACATCCAGAATAATCCTTGTCAAGCACAGTGTGCATTTTCCGACTTGCAAAATAATCGATGGGTCAGATCTAGTTAGTCATTTTCCATAGCCCTAGGTCTTGACCGGCATATACGCGCAAGCGAATTATTGAAATAAAATTGAACCATATGTTATTCCCGAAATGACATAGTTTGTGTCGAGTGGACATTAAACCCCATTTCTCTCTATCTCTTTATGTTCTGTTAAATTAATGAGGGCTTTCATTTTTATACGCCCACATGGAAATGTGGTCGTATATTGCCGTCCGTCTATTGCCGTCCGTCGTCCACAATTTCTTGTGAACACTCTACAGACTACATTTATCATCTGATTGTTTTGAAATTGATATATGTTGTTTGCATTAGTGAGATGAAGAATCCTATTGAATTTCAATAATTTCGTCTGGAGTTATGGCCCTTGTTTTACTTTGTTGCACCTTGTGAACGCTCTAACGACAAAAGTTATCAACCAATCTGTATGAAATTTATATGCATCATTTAAATTAGTAAAACAAAGAAGCCTATTGAATTTCAGCAATTCCCGTTAATTACATCTAGAGTTATGGCCCTTGTTTCACTTTGTTGAATCTTGTGAACGCTCTAATGACAACAGTTATCATCCGATCTGTTTGAAATTGATATGCATCATTTAAATTAGTGAAATGAAAAATCATATTGAATTTCAGCAATTTCCTTTAAATACGCTGTGAGTTATGGCCCTTGTTTCACTTTGTTGTACCTTGTTTATGCTCTAACGACAAAAGTTATTATCCGATCTGTATGAAATTTATATGCATCATTTTGATTAGTAAAACAAAGAAGCTTATTGAATTTCAGCAATTTCCGTTAATTACATCTAGAGTTATGGCCCTTGTTTCACTTTGTTGAATCATTTAAATTAGTGCAACGAAGATGCCTATTGAATTTCAACAATTTCCGTTAATTACACTGTGAGTAATGGTCTTTTTTCACTTTGTTGTACCTTGTGAATGCTTTAACGACAAAAGTTATTATCCGATCTGTATGAAATTTATAGGTATCGTTTAAATTAGTAAAACGAACAAGCCTATTGAGTTTCAGCAAATTTCCGTTAGTTACATCTAGAGTTATGGCCCTTGTTTCACATTGTTGAATCTTGTGAACGCTTGAACAACAAAAGTTATCACCCAATCTGTATGAAATTCATATGCATCATTTAAATTGGTGAAATGAAGAAGCCTATTGAATGTCAGCAATTTCTGTCAATTACTTCTAGAGTTATGGCCCTTGTTTTACTTTGTTGAACCTTGTGAAAGTTCGAACGACAAAAGTTATCATCCGATCTGTATGAAATTGATATGTATTATTTGAATTAGTAAAACGAAAAAGTCTGTCGAATTTCAACAATTTCTGTATATTACTTCCAGAGTTACAGCCCTTGTTTTAGTTTTTAGAACCTTGTGAACCCTCAAACGACGAAAATTATAATGTCATCTGTATGAAATTGTCCATTAAATGCCCCCTAATTACCTACAAAAGAACAAATATACGACAACTCTTGTCGACCGCTCGGATGATTTAGCTGCTGTGGGCGTATGTTTAGTTGCCCAACAACCTATCTTTTGTATGATACAATTCACATGGTTCATTAGCCTTTTTTTTTTCAATTTACATGGTTCATTGGCTTTTTTGATTTGTTTTGTACAATTTTGCAATTTTCATGATTTATTGCCCTTTTAACATGTATATTTATTAATCATACTAGTCTGAAAAGCACTGGACTATTCATTAAACTTAACAATCTTCTCCTTTGATACTGTTTTTTTTTATTTATTTAAATTAAATAACCTTATCTGAGAATTATGTGGCAATTACTACCATATTAATAAAATGTAAAAGGGGGGGTTCAAGGTATGTGACATGAACAAAATATGGAGAACATTATCAGAGAATGTTGCTTGCAAGGTCAATAAATAATACAGTTGGCTATAGAGCATAGTACATCTTTCTTTCTTAATTTGTTTTCTTGGTATTTGATACACTTAAAAAAAAAAAAAAAGGAGGTGGGGACGATACAGATGAGGATTTTTCTAGAATAAAAGCAGTACTTGAATACCAAATATTTATGTATTACTTTCTGGCATGAAGCTGACATCTTCATATACAGTCGGAAGTGTTCTAGATAACCGATCAACAATTTTCATGACATTTTCAGAAAATTTAAGCTGATCAATTTCAGAAAATGGATTTTCGGTAATATTTTTGAAGGCCTCGAATTTTCTTTCATTCTGCTTTCTAAATGATGTAATCTTCAAAGTTCTATATATTTAATTGACGCGTATACAATCTCCCTGATAATGTCTGTCTACTACATCGTTAACACTGTTCATCACGTGCATTTTGCATACCGATAGTCCATTGGCCAATCAAGCTATTTTACCGAGATTTTGCCTAATAGTTTGGATGCAGCTATGGTGGGTGTGGCGCCAGGCAGGGTAAGCTTACTCTTTTGGACACCTGTTACCACTGTTTGTCGTGTATTTTGTACACGGTGAACAGTCCATATGCTAATTACACTATTTTGCCTTATTACACTATTTTGCCTATACCGTTTTTTTAGGACTTCGAATTTTGTCTAATGGTTTGGATTGTTCGTACTTGGTTTTATTTTATTCAGACATAACTGCCATGTGTACTCTTTATGTCTTTGATTCCACACATTTGGTCAAAATTTGTTGAAATACTGTGAAGTACAGGCCCAGCCTTAGATATTTTCACTATAGACTGTTCAGTTTTCCATCTCCCTAAGCCACTAATCAAATCTTTTAGAAATTTCACCTGATTTTCTTTTTCCATGTCTGCAGGTTTATTTTTCCCTTTCTGACCTTTTCTATTTATGTAAGACCCAGCTCTTACCCTAAGTGACAAACGTGGAGACAGAAGGACTTCCGTCTTTAAAATGAAATCTAAACATTCCACAAGGTATTTGGAAAGTGTAGAATGTGAATAAAAAAAAGGGATCATCTCCTTGTTTTATACAATCTTTAACATTCTTGATAGTAAAGTACCACTGTAAAAGATTTAAGGCATAATTGTAAAGATCATCCTTTTCTTCTTTAACCAGTTTAAATTTTGCTGGTTGTGATAATCCTGGAAGATTCACAGTAACTTCATTTTCATCCTGGAACATGTCTAAAGGAATCTCCAAGTTAAATGGTGCATCACCACCAATTGACAAGGTCAGGGATATAATTGTTTTATCTTGTTTCGCTGTTTCTTTACCTTCCAGAATTTGTTTGTTCTCTTGAATTTGAAGTTCTAATTTGACCGTCGTATCTTGAATCTGAAATAAATGTAGAATCAATAAGTCATCATTAATAAAATTTAAATAAGAAACACACAGTAGGTGTGTTTTAAATTACTCCATCCATTATTGTTTATAATTTTTAAAGTGAAACTATAAAATGAACAACATTTCAAGGAAATGTGGTGAAAAATTTATCTTGTGCAGTTTTAGCAAGAAACAAGAGGGTTTCATAAACTTACCATATCCAGACTAAAGATAATTAAATATTTGTCAATAAAACTATCCATCATATCATCAAAGGCTAATTGACGCCTGGTACAGTGAAAGAATTTCACATTCTTTTGTGGTTTATTATTGGTAGGAAAAGAGTCCTCAGATTCCAGGCCAAAATACTCTTTTACCAATTCAAGTAAATACACTTTACCAACAGTTAGTATGAAGTCTTTGTTTGCCTAAAGTAAATGTGAAAGGCAGAAAGTAACTAAAGTGTATTGTTAATATGACTTACATTCATGGGGATTACATTCATTTGTTTAAGATTTTACCAAGGTCATAACATATTCAAACCATTAATCGTCTGAGCTTGAAATGGAAGAACAAATGTTATTTTACTTTAGTAAAGTGCAACAAACCTCTAAGAAATCTTGCAAAGTGTGAAACATTTCAATTATCATACGGTTCAAATTATCAAATCTGTCTTCAACTGTGTGAGCTCCAGCTCTCAATAACTTGGCGCCGGTAAACGGACACGTGTAAGCTGGTCACCTCCAATGGGTATATTCAGATTTCTGTAATCATCATCTGAAAGAGATAAATGGATATTTAATTTCCCAACCTACAATGATCACTTATTATTCATATATTATGATTAATTGTTATTATTTATTTTGTGTTGGTGATGCATCTACATGTATGCTACATATGCACATTGACATGTTCTTCATTCCTTTTTGCGGGGTCGGATGGCCGAATGGTTAGCGCTTGCGTGTTGTATCATAAGGTCTGTCATTGAGTCAACTGGTGTGGTTTTGATTCCCCGGTTGTATGTGACAAGGACTAGGGTCGCCTGTCCAACCTTGTGGGTTTTCTCCGAGTCCTCCGGTTTCCTCCCACTGCTATAGGTGATCACGTGGCTAATTCGGTAAGACGCTAGCTCGCTAGCCTGGAAGTCGGGTGTTCGATCCCTGCATTGGCCGAGAAAGTTCATCCAGATTTTCCGGCGTGGTTCTCCCTTGTCAGTGATGCAGGACGGAGGGGCTGACAAGGAAAGCTGTCTAGTCGTTCGGATGGGACGAAAAACCGACGACCCGTGTACACATTGGCGTGCACGTAAAAGATCCCTTGGCAGTTGGAATTCGATATAAGAGTAGGCCGTAGTGCCGCTGTCCGGGCAAAATTTCCCTCATAGCACACTGTATGGCATATGCCCGTCTTCATTAGCCCAGGTTAGGAGCAGAACAGTAGGACGTTAAACTCCATTTCATTTCATTTCCTCCCACTGCTATAGACCCCTACTCGAAAGCGAATTATGGAAATAAAATTGAACCATATGTTAGTCCCAAAAAGACATAGTTTGTATAGTGTGGCTGTTAAACCCAATTTCTCTCTCTCTTTGCTTCCTATACGGCCACATAGACCTGGTTTGTATCGAGTGGACGTTAACCGAATTTCTCTGTCCCTCTCATTGCTTTTTAACGTCCACATAGAAATGTTTTTAAAAAATTAATGCAATGTTATTTTTTTCTTACTACATGTTATTGCAGAAAAATAAATCACAAATGAACAAACATTAAATGATAAAACTGGTTAGTCTTTGTGCATCATTTGCATTTGTCAGAAAAATACAAAATTTAATCAAAGCCAAGTCTTGGGTACTGTTGTGGCTCAGAATAAAGAAATTTGAATGAAATTTTCAATATATTCATTTTGCAGAATCAATTTTGAACTATAATAGCTACAACTGTCAGCTTTTTATCTAAATCTTAAATAATGCATGTCAAACAATAAATCAAGAAAATAAAATATCAACAGTAAAAAGTTGATATATATTAAATTCATCATATCTTGCAAACAGTGAATGAAATTGAGCCATTTTTATACGCCCACATTGAAATGTGGTCGTATATTGTCGTCGCCGGCGTCCACAATTGCTTGTTGACGATTTAGAGGCCAAAGTTAATATCTGATTGACTTTAAATTTATACACAGTGTTTAAGGTCTTGAGACGAACATGCCTATTGATTTTCAGAGATTTCCGATAATTATTGCCAGAGTTATGGCCCTTTATCACTTTGAAAAATCTTGTGGACGCTTTAGAGGCCAAAGTTAATATCCGATTGACCTAAAATTTATATACAGTGTTAAAGGTCATGAAACGAAGAAGCCTATTGATTTTCAGCGATTTCAAATAATTACTGCCAGAGTTATGGCCCTTGATCAGTTCACAAAATCTTGTGGACGCTCTAAAGGCCAAAGTTAATATCCGATTGACTTTAAATTTATACACAGTGTTTAAGGTCATGAGACGAAGAATCCTATTGATTTTCAACGATTTCTGATTATTACTGCCAGAGTTATGGCCCTTGATCACTGTGGCCAATGTTAATATCCGATTGACCTAAAATTTATACACAGTGTTTAAGGTCATGAGTCGAAGAAGACTAATGATTTTCAGCGATTTCCGATAATTACCGCCAGAGTTATGGCCCTTGATCACTTTGAAAAATCTTGTGGACGCTCTAGAGGGCAAAGTTAATATCTGATTGACTTCAAATTTATACACAGCGTTTAAGGTCATGAGACGAAAGGGCCTATTGATTTTCAGCGATTTCCGATTATTACTGCCAGAGTTATGGTCCTTGCTCACTTTGAAAAATCTTGTGGACGCGCTAGAGGCCAAAGTTAATATCCGATTGACCTAAAATTTATATACAGTGTTAAAGGTCATGAGACGAAGAAGCCTATTGATTTTCAGCAATTTTGATGAAACTTAAAACATGTGTTTATATCCCAAGGATCTCATTTACTTTTGATATTTGCGCATAACAGACCGTAACTTCCTGGATTATGGTCCCTGATTGTACGAAAAAATCGCAATTTTAGCTTGTTGAGCCTCTAGAGGTTACAATTTTTATCCAATTTTAAAAATTGTTTAAACATATTGTTACACCCTGATGATGATTGCGTCGAATTTTGTAAAAAATCAAACCATAACTGTCAAAATGGCCGCTCCATGAACGCAAATTGTGTAAAAAGTATGTAATACCAATGTTGTGGACCCGAGGGCACAATTTTTGGCCAACTTTGATGGAACTTAAAATATATGTTTATATCTCAAAGATCTCAGTTCCTGTGGATATTTGCACTTATCAGACCGTAACTTCCTGGATTATGGCCCTTAATTGTATGCAAATTCACAGTTTTAGCTCGTATGGACACAATTTTTATCAGATTTTAAAAAACGTTTAACTATATCTTTGTTTCACCATAATGAAGGTTGAGTTCAGATTTTGGGAAAATTGAAATGAAACTGCCCAACAAAATGGCCACTCCTTGTCCACAAGCATGTAATAATATGAAGGTTGTGGACCCTCTAGAGGTTACAATTTTTGTCTGATTTGGATGAAACTTAAAATATATCTTTTTATATCCCAAAGATTTGTCCCTTTCGATATTCGACATTTCAGACCATAACTTCTTGGATTATGATCCTTTTTTTTTTTTTTTAAGCTTGTTCTCTATCCATCTCTTGCAAAACCGCTGGTTAACTATTTTAACAATTGAAGACTAATACACTTTATTTTCTAGGCTTCAATGGGAAATTTAAATCAAGAAGAAATGCAAAAGAGGGTGAATTTTCTTAAACAACAACGAGACAAATTAATGGAAATGAAGAGAAAGGAGAGGGAGAAATCTCTTCTTACTGCTGAAAAAGCCAATCCAAGAAGACCTATGTCAGCCCGTGCTGCTAGAGCAGCCATGTCTCAAGCTGGTCCAGTACAATCACAGAAACCAACTGTAAATCCTGAAGAAGAAAAGAAAATGGCTATGAGACGTGCTATTGCCAGTAGAATAAAAAATGAAGTTATGGGTAAGAAGTGAAAAATATAAAAGTGCGCAAAGTGTAAATGTTTTAGTTATACTTGAATAGGCACATTTTTATATGTATGATTTGTTATTACTGTGTCACAAAGATTTTTTAAAAAACATTTGGCAGTTTTTAAACACCCATTTCCAATTTAATTTCACTTTGAAAAAAACTTATTGTTTTTATAAAGATTATTATTATATTTTTACTATGTGTTTCTCCTGTATATCTTATAACTCAGAACAGAGGTCGCAGTGACGCAAAAATCCGCGTGTTTCACGAATTTTTTTCAAAATAAACGCAAATATTGACGGACGCTAGGTAATTTACACGCAGAAAATTTCCCCGACGTGAGAATAATTAGATTATTCTATGTCGTAGTTTGTACAATTTATGTGCTTTTCCCGGCATTTACACACCTCTACTGTACGTAGTCTCCGTAGTTTTTTAGATTTCCTCTTATTTCATTCATAAGTTCATGGCAGTAAGCCTACGTAGCTATCCTATTGGAAGCAATAAACCGCATTTCATACAAGACTTGGGATTGGCTAGAACAAGATATACTGTTTACATTCAGCCAATCAAATGTTGGCTTTCATAGCGATAGTTTTCTCTTTACGTCCTGTCGAAGTGAAAGATTGAAATGACTGTGCCGTCAACCATAGACATGCCGTTAACCTCCAGTCATCATTAGACTAATTACAGTAGGCATATCAATGAAGTAAGGACGCTTAAAATAGGGTTGTTCACAAAACGACTTTACATGCTTCTATGTTGAGTATTTTGAGAGGCTCTTCACGCAGATGTAGAGGGCAAAAACGCAAAATTTTGGAATGTCTGCATATTTTTACGCAACTCGAAATTGATCCACTGCGACCTCTGGCTCAGAACCTATCTGTTGGATCAGTCTGAATGTAATAATCAGAACTTAATAATGATGTGGCTTTACGGGTATATTGAAGAAATATTAAGGGTTAAAGATTTTAAAAAAATGTGTATCCAATTTACTTCAAAATCAGTTTTTGTACTCTTTTAACAACTGGAAGTGCTGTCATCTTAATATGCAATAAATCAACAATAAATTTACCTACGGACTTGGGACTTACATGGTTAAATCGCTGGAATGGAGGCTAAAAAAAGTAATCAAAATGATTTTGATATGTGTCAGTTTGTTTTCGTCTTTTGGAATCCACATTTTGGGTATACAATTATTCAAAGATTGGACAAAAACCGAGGTCCTGTGCACACATTGGCGTGCACATTAAAGAACACTTGACAGTTGGAATTCTGAAATCAGTGTAGGTAGTAGCACCACAGACAGGGCAAAATCTCCCTCATTGTACACTATATGGCGTATGTCTGTCTTAATTAGTCCAGTTGGTGCAGAAAAGTAGGCCTTTAGATTCATTCAACCTCATTTTATTTCATTATTTTGGGATGGAGGCAGGGGCCATCAGCCTTACTTTT